CAATTTAAAATTTAAGAAATTTGAATTGACTCATCCAAACAAAATATTTTAAGAATGATAGAAACTGAAATCAAAGTAATTCAAATACTAAGAATTCAAAATTCCTTGAATTTGTAAAATTCCTCATCCAAACACACTATTAGGGAATTCATTTTAACTTTTCTCTCTCTCTGAAACTTTCACATTCTCAATTCAACTCTTCTGTTTTAAGTTTAAAAGATTTAAATAAAAAGGAATGAGTGCACTTGGGAAAGAATAACCTATTATTCTAATAGAACTAAATATATATATATATATATATAATTAATGAATAGCCATAAGTTAATTGTAGAAGTATAAAGTAATGACACTTAGTATGTACTGCATGATAAGTATTAAGCACGTGTTAGGGGGTGACTAATAAATAAAATAATTTAATATCTTCTTAATCACTGGGTGTAATCAACTTCCCCATCAATCTTGAAATATCTAATATTCTATACAGAAAACTAATTATACTGTAGACTACTAAATCAAACAAATATAAGACAGTTGAAAGATATCACAACTGTCATTCAATGGCATAAAACTATAAATACAAGTTTAGATAAATTCAGCATGAGATGGCATTCACTGATATGACGTGAACATTTGATACAAAACAAAAAAGGAATTTTTATGAATATTGGTAACTAATACTACCTCCTCATGATGTTTTAGCCTTTTTCCTATCCCATAACAATTGAAGTTTTAGAATATCAAAGTCCAATTAATTTTTTTTCTCAGTTATATCCATTTTAATAGCTATTATAGTTGAGATAAGTAGGAGTTCATAATATAATTTATTACTACTAATGAGATATTAAATAAGAACCTTCTAGTCTAAATTGGCATTCATTAAATATTTCTTAATCCATACACATAACCAGAGCCATCAAAATGAGCCGGGACTCGCAGGCCAACCCGGCCCACCTTGAAAACAGGTCAAGCCAGGCTAAAAAAAATTGAAGTTTTATAGTAGGTGGGTATATCTCAACCCGGCCCATCTAGGTTGAACCCGTGGTGGGCCGGTAGCCCACCAACCCACCATTTTTTTTTTGCAATAAAAATTTAAGTCTTTGACCCGGCCCACCGGGGCTGAACCCGTGGTGGGCCCGGTAGCCCACCAACCCACCATTTTTTTTTTGCAATAAAAATTTAAGTATGATTTGTAGTTAATTTTGTATGATGAGATATTGAAAATTTTTATTTTAGACTTTTATCATGATTCGTATTTAATTTTGTATAATGAGTTATGACTTATGACTATTAATAATACTAATTTTATGACTATTATGTTAATTTATAATTAATTTAAAATTTTGAATTTTGTTGATAATTTTTTTTAATTTTTGGTGGGCTGGTGGGCTGGCCCGTATAACCCACCAACCCATGGTGGGCTGGGCCGGGCCAATTTTTTTTTTTTTTAAGAAAATCAAAAGTGGGCCGGGTTGAGTTGACTCGTTTTTAAAATGGGTCAAGGTGGGCCGACCCACATGGATCGGGTTTGGCCCATTTTGACAGCTCTACACATAACCTTAAATATCAAAAATATGGAAAGGAGGAAGTAAAGAACCAACAACAACAAAGTCTTATCTCACTGACCAGGTGAAGTATAGATCACATCACATGTAACCATTTGGCAGGTTAAAAACCAAAGCTTCAAGATTGCTAAACTAGTGAATATTGATATTTAATACATGGACATAAAAGACATAATATTTAAAAGAATAATATGCTAATTATATTTGTGTTTGCCGCTAATTACATTGTTTTATTATTTGTTATAGCTTGAAATGCAAAAATAAAATCAGCCTTGAGACTCCTATTCACCAACAGCAAACAGGTTACTAGGTCAAAATCTACAGCCTCAACATTTAAGAATCACAACAAAATTGACGACCATCATGGAATGTTCTGTTCCGTAAGCAGCAATCTATTGATTCTATTCACAATGCAATAGTACAAAACAACTTAAATCAAATACCTGTTCCCTCAGCCGCATTATAAGGAGGTGCTTCAGTGTTTATTAAAAGATAAGGTTTCCTTGCCCAGTACTCTTGAAACCTCTGTTTGGCATACTCCTTGTAGTCAAAGTCGATAGTGTTTACTTGTGCCTGAACAAATTAATCAGGAGATGAGGTGATGAAGAACAAAACTTCATCCATCAATCTGGATAAGTAGTATATGTAGGATATCTAATAGTCAATATGGAGAGTTCTCATATGCTAGTGGCAACGGAGTACATGATATGAACAGCTTAGAAGGGAGGAGGGAGAAGTTCATAAAAAGTCAAATGCAGTATATGTAAAGCCCAGGTCTGATCTGTATTGAGTACAATATTTCTTGTCACTATGACCTATAGGATTACCCTTTCTACACACACAAGTGCTTGTCTCACAAGTCACAAGAGAGGACACATTTTAGAGAGGCTAAATCTTTCTTGCATAAAAAGCTCAAATTTGTAACTTTTTCTTTTTCCCAAAAAGAAAATAAAAGTTTTGTTTAAACCAACTCCAAAAACACTGGTAGGAGACACCTAATATTTCAAGTGAAATATGACCCAGCTATAGCAAGTAAAATTGCCATTGTTCCATCAATTGTAATTGTGAATTGATGATGATGGATAACACCACAAACAAAAAGCAACGCACACCTATTGCTCATGTCTTCATGGTTGTTTTAAGAAAACCATTGGTAGAATTCACCGCTACTTTTTTCAGTAGCACATTCTATTTATGAAAACTGTGTGCAAAAACCAGATGTATGGAATAACTTCTCCCTCTCCAAGGACTCAGCCACACCCATCCTAGAGTACCAAAGATCATGATTATAAAACAAAATCTAAAGTGAGAGAATGAAGGTACCGAAATTATTCCCCAAACGCCCCAAAATAGATGATTTGCAAGTGTATACTTCTCAATCTCTTGAAGTAGCTGCTCCACCTTATTGTCACTAGATTGCTCTCCTGCAATCAAGACCCACAATTTCAGGAACACATTATAATTCTAGTTCTTAAGGTGATGCATGATTATTTATGCAATCAAATACAAGAGCATATTCATGATAGATCGTTTAATATAATACAACTTGATTCTTCCAATTATGAGATAGATCATCAATTTCAGTAAATTGAAAGAAAACACCAATTTTTTCTTTAAATGCTTTATGGTAGAAGATGAATCAATTTAAATGACAAACAAGACAACCATGCAATACAATCTTTTAATTTTAGAGAGATATTTAAAGAAGTCTATTACCGGAGGTACTCAAATATGCCTTGACAAATCTTCGACGCTCCTCTAAATCTGTAAAGAGGACCATCCAAATAAAAGTTAATTTCATAGAACATGATAAAATGAATGAAAATAAGTTAAAATATCCCCATGGTCACATACCAGGATATTTAGTGTAGTCAAGAATATGAGGCTCTTCTGTATGATAGTTAGCAGCCATCTCACAAAAGTGGTTTGCTATATCAAATGCTACATGATTATAACTAGCATATTCATAGTCCTGTTACAAAAGGTAGCATTAAATTATATTTGCTGACTATGACCCATTGATCACTTGGAAAAATATAACCAAGAGTAAACCAGTTTTTAATACCTTCAGCCATGTTTAAAATAAATAATGAAAACAAAGGAGAAAACTGATCACACAAGATATATCATCTCATTCACAATTTCATATAATATGTCATCAATCAAATAAATTCCCTTATCTCCCAAGGTTTCCTTCCTTCAGAATTTTTTATTTAAACTTAAAATATAGAAGAGAGCTTAAGCAACAAATAAATCAACAATGTTCATCTAGTCAAAGCTATAACAAAGATCACTAAAAAGTCTTACCCCTATTTAAGATACTATCCTGTCAAAACATATGGGCATTCTTATATAATGATTCTTTTCTTCTTTTTGGTCAAGGTTATAGTGGCATTTGTTTCAAGGTATATTGCATTCCTAGGAATCCTATAACCAGGAATACTATTGATGAGTAAATTCAAAATTATGTTAAGTTGGATTTTTAATATTCCTAGGGATATTTTTAAAATTTAAAATGATTAGAATAAAAAGGAAAAGTAAAAATAGAAGTTATTATTGGGTTAAAAAATAACTTCCCATATTCCCATGAGAATATAACTTTCCCACCCTTTACCATGAGAACAAAATTGAAGTGAAACAAAGTATTACTACTTTCCCAGGCATGAACAATATCTGAGAAATGAAAATAACAAATATGGGAATATTACATTCTGAAGTTTACATTCAGGGTACTTCTGGTCTTAAGACATACTTAATCTCTTTTAAGTCATGCCTCTTGAACCATTACCCATAGCCTTGTGCAACTGGTCTTTTTGACAAATACAATTCTTCCATAACTTTTGGTACATTTCAAAAAACTGGGTCCACGTGACATTTAATAGAGTAACAGAATTTGTTAGTACCACGAGAAAATCCTTTTACAAATATATGACAACAATTTAATATTGCCAACAATTCTATTATAATAAATAAATAAATAAATGCATAACTAATTATTTCCTAAGAGCAGCATCCATGGAACATTAAATATTATATCATTTATCTACACAAAACCATGATTTTAAAATATAGCATGAAGAGAAACTCACTATGATGGTCACAGAATTGGTCTCTTCGTCAAGCATTATATTACCATATTGTAAATCATTGTGGCAAAATCCTATGAGTTGGTCTGCACCTGAAAGTTCCTTTTCCAGCATAGAGATTTCTTTGTCAATTGTGTCCAAATAAAAAGCTTCAACTTCTTTAGGGGATGATAAACGTTTGGCTTCACTAAGCCAATTTCTGAAACATTGTAATAAAAATATTTAAGAAATGATCAAGGTGTAATTAAATATAAAAGTGATAAAAAAAATATTATTATTTGAATAAATTTTATAAAAGAGCTGGTGGTTTCTTATCGCCTTTTCCACATAAACTACTTCTATACACTTAGAATGGAGATGCTGGAACAGGTATTCAAATAGCACATACCGCAACCTATCCCAGAGGTGGACTTTCTTTTCACCAGGCATATCTAGTTCATGGAACTCCTTCATTTTGGCCGCTATAAGAGCAGAAATAGATGGATCACGTAGATCAGATGCTGATAATGTCTGATAAATTCACAATCAAATTTGTGAGTACATCAAGTTCTTAACTCATGGAGATCAATAAAAGAAACAAGCAATGCTTAAATTTTACAGATCATTTATATAGCAGGATCAATGATGAAAATTGAATGTAGTTTGATCCAATCTACAGTTTAAATTCATGAACCAAATAATAACAAATTGCTAAGAAGATAGTTGGAAGAGTATCAGTATAAAGCCAAAATATAAATGGTAAACATGAGATTACCCGTGCATGGATAAATTCTTCAACACGGCCATTTGTAAATCGTCCTAGTAGAAGAGGACCTTGCCCATTCTTTGACATGAATTCAAATGTTCGGATTTCTTTATCCCTGTCAAAGAACACATCCACACCCTCACCATACATTCTAACAAGAACCTTTCGGGATGTTTCCCCTGTCGTAGTTGGCCACTTTATCTGGTATACCTTATTTGTCATTGCCCCTTTGAGAGGGAACACCTGCAATGCATTTGCATCAAGTACATCCTCCCATTTACTTGCCAATGATATCAGTATCTCCTTTGCTTCTTCTGGAAGGCAATCTGGTTTGCAGCTTGCAGGGGATTCAACAGCATTTGCTTTGCTGCTTGCAGGGAACTCAACAGCCTTAACTATGCTGTTTATAGGGGAATCAAGAGCATCTGCTTTATTTTCTACAAAACTTCCTGCAGGATCCTGTTTGTCATTTACAAGATTTTCTGCAGCATCTGTTTGGTTGCTTAAATGATTTTCAACACCATCAGAATTATTGTTTACAGGATTTTCTATGCCATCATTTTTGACATTCATATTATTTTCTGATGTGCCTGCTTTGTTTTTTACAGAGTTTTCTGCACCACCAGTTGCTTCACCATCATTTGAAGGATTTTCTGCCCCACCTGCTTGGTCATTAAACAGATTTTCTGCCCTACCTCCACTTCCAGGAATTTGTTTAACATCTGTTTGGTCACTTACAGGATTTTCAGCACTGCTAGCTTTAGGAATTTCTGCATTACCTGCTTGATTGCTTACAGGGTTTTCTGCACCTGGTGCTTTGTCCTTTACAGGATTTTCTGAAGAACCAACATTGTCCTTTATAGGATTTTCAGTATGACCTGTAGCGTGGTTTTCCAGACTTCCTGTTGACCCTGCTGTGTTGTTGACGGGATCTTCAGCTGCACCCATTGCGAAAGTTTCCAAAACTTCGAGTACAGTAAATATTTACTGAAAATATAAAATTTCCTTTATTTGTGAATTCAAAAATTGAAAGGTGTTACTCAAGACCTGAAAAAGAAGATGAAAACAAAACCATTCAACTCATCAAAATGATATCCAAGTAATTTGTGACTGCAACAACAAAATAACATGATGCAGTGCCCTCCTGCTGGCCCTCTCCATCCTTCCACGGTGAATTGACAGTTAAGAGAGAGAAAAAAAAAACGGAAGAAGAGAACAATCATATATGAATAATCAGATAAGTGTTTCATTCAAAAGCAAGATCGTGGAATGATCGAAGACTAATGTAACGTAAATCAGAAAATTAACAGATTTTTGTATCTCATTTATTTTCTGTCTAGCAAAGATGTCAAAGAGTAGAAAGGCCTAAATTGTGTAGTAGCCACTTCAATCATACGTCATTATTTTAAAAATAAATAAATAAATACCGATCAGGGAAATAATCAACATAAAATTCAGATTGCCTACATGAATAGAGAAATCATAATTTTAAATCTGAAAATTGGAAAGAAAAAAGGCATACAATCTCCATCCATAATCTCTAGAAAACCATACATCAAAAACCGGTAAGCCAAACGATATGAAACATGACGAATTTCGAGAAGAATATCAGAATTATCATTTTCCAACCTATTTCTTAGCGTCCAAACAACTCCCTATTGTCCACACCATGCATTTTCTAACGTTGAATCACCCTTCTCAAAACCATTTCCCTAATTCCACAAATTAGGCTTTCTGCTTAGGACCGCATTGATTGAAAAGCAGCAGAAAAATACGAATGTAACAATAATCGAATTGCAAGAGCATGCACCAAAACCATTTTCTATGAATAACTTTCTTACCAACCAAACACGAGATAGATTTAAAATGCCACGAAAACAGAGAAACTCTAGCGACAAAAAAAAAAAAGAATTGAGGAATAGAAATTTACGAATCTCGACAGAACGAATACACGGAGGAGAAGCGCGAGCGGCGGCCGGAGATATCGCCGCCGAAGCGGCGGCCGGAGATACCGCCGCCGATGAAGAGTTTGTTTGATGAATGGAAAGAGAGAGAGAAAGAGAGAGTGACGGTTGAGAGTTTCGAGGGAAATGAACTTATATATGAGGGCAAGGAGTTTCTAATTTCTTTTCCACCGCCAATGCCAAAGGTGGTGGTGGTGGCTCAAAGCTATTCTATTTCAATTTCCATGATTTTGATTTTCGGAAAATAAGGTTAAAATTAGATTTAACCTTTCTAAAAAAAAATTGATTGCAAAATAAATTGGATCTAGTTTAATTTTTATTTATTATAAGTATGAAACAGTTCAATCTCTATGTCTTCTCGGTGTAAATGAATTTTATAATGTTAAACAATAAAAATCTTAATTGATATTACTTGTAAGTAAGATATTTTATTGTAAAGATGAAATGTAGATAAAATGAGTTTGAGTATTAAATTTAAATTTAAACATGATTTTAGTTTTTATAATATAAGAAAATTTTGATTTTAATATTTGTAATAAGTTTGTTTTTTTATTTTTTTAAAATTTAAAATTACTAATTTTTAGTCTTTATATGTGATCAATTTTTATTATTTGTGTCAATTAAAAAGTTAAATGATTTTTTAGGTGTTATTTGTGAATGTTAGTTATAGCATCATTTGATATTAATAAAAAAATTAAATATATTTTTAATTTCTCAAATTTAAGATAAATTTATTTTTAGTCTTTTAAATTTAAAACTAAATTTTTTAATCTTATAGTTTTTTTAAAAAAAAATTATTTTAATCTTTATAATCAAAATTTATTAGAAATTGTTAAATATATAAAATTTATCTATCTACTAATATTTTTATTAATGAAAATATCATATTAATCTTAATTAATATTGTATAAATGTCACTTTTAAATATTTTATTTATAATTTTCAAACTTACGAATTAAAAAAGTTAAATTTAAATTTAAAATACTAAAAAAATAAATTTATCTTAAATTTTAAAGAATAAGAACATATTTAAACATAAATAAACAGTTACAATTTTAAAAATAACTTTCAAAAACTTGTATACTAAACACATTTTCTAAAATTATTAGGTTCTCACCTCTATCATGAGAATAATTTTATATATATGTAAAAAAATTGTATAAAAATCATTTTAAAAATATTATGTTGAATAATAATTAAATATGAAAAACTAACACCTGAAAAGTTTTTACAAATGTTAGTGATTCCCATAAATTCTTTATATCTAAAATATAATATAGAAATATAGAAATATAAAAATATAAGTGCAGGTGTTGAGTGGGATGGGTACTAAATATACAAATATACCCATTCGCACATGTATTCCCATTTTTTTGGGAGTGCAATTTTGTGATCCTTATATGAAAGTGTTGTATTCTTGAGTGTAGATTGCTATTTAACATTATAAGTATATAATAAGTTCTTGAATAAATTAATATTATCTTATATAAAAATTAATTTCTTTTTATTAGTTTTTTCAAAATAAATTAATTTATACTAAAATTATTTTAGTTTATAAAGAAAATTCTTTAAAGAAATATACCCGAACAAATTATAAGTAAGTCTCTATTTAACACTATATGCATGAAATGAGATTATATGTATATTAATACATTAAATGATGTAAAAATTTATGCAATACACAGAAGCTAAACCTTTTGGCTTCACATGAGACGCGTGTAATATGACATCACTAGAACAACTATACGTTTATTTTTAAAAAGAAAAAAATACTTAACTCTTTAAATTTTACCTCTTTTATAAATAGATATTACATACTTAATTTTATCTCAACTAATTTTTAAACTTTATCTTATTAATAAATAGATACTATAAACTTTAATTGTATCATAATTAATTCTTAAATTTTACTATTTTTCAAATAAACATCTAAGTTTTGATTTCATCTTAATTGTTTATTAAAATTTATCTCTTATGGTAAATTACCATTCTTTTTATTATATTAAATTTAAACTATTAATATATATATATATATCAATCATTTATTTATTTATTTTAGATCATATTTATTTATTAATTTTACTTTTATATATCATTTTTCTATATATTAAATCATCATAAAATTTATAATAAAAAATCAATAAGGACTTTTATTTTATTTTTTTATAATTATTCTTTTTTTTTTCTTTCTTTCTAAATTCATATTTTTATTATATTTGAAAAATAATTGTAACAAAAGAAGAAAAAGATTAACGAATGACAATTAAGATAAATAATTTAATTATGAATTTATAATTAAAAAAACTTTATAAAAATGATAAATAATAAATATAAATTAAAATGAAATTATAAGCTGAATGAGATTATTTATAAAAGAAGTAAAGTTTAAAAATTAATTAGAATAAAAGTAAAACTTATATATTTATTACAAATAAGATAAATTTTAAAAATTGATTAAGATAAAAATTAAAATTTAAAATATTTATTTATAAAAGGAGTAAAATTTAAGATGGAAGAATATTTGTTTCCTTTATTTTTCATATGACATAACTTTACATGAAGAGAATCTTCCCATTTATTCGCATTATGCCGCCAGTATACATATTATGCACGTTAGTGCTGAAGTTACATCTTTGTCTGGGATATTAAACTAAAGAAAATAATACGAGATTTTAAAAAATAAAATGAAAAGAAAATTTGGTAAAAAAATTAATTTAGATTTCATAACCAACATTGTTACAAACTTTATTTTAAAAGGTAGGTTTGTTTTGATTGAAATCAAACTTGCAAATACATTATAAGAGCATATTTACAAACAATTTCTAGTAGTAAATGAGTTTTCGATAAATCAAATTAATACATATATATTACTAACTTATGTATTACATTTAAGTATCAATGTTTTAAAATTTTAATTGGTTATTAAATCGGTGGAAATACCCGTTTAAGGGTCGAATTAATGATAAAAAAATTATATTTTTCTTAAAATTTAAATATAATAAATTAAAGAATAATAAAAAAACATAGTATTCATTTCATGACTTGAGATTATTAATATTTAAGACAATACACTACATATTAAGACTAATTATATAATATTATATTATTCATACATGATAAATAAGCTAAATTAATAAGAATAAAGTTTAACTTAGTTGTATTTAAAAAAGATGTAAAAATTAAATTATTTTAATAATGAATTATAATTGTAATTAATTATTGTTTAAAAGATTATAATCATAAAAAAAATTTGTTTTGGTAGATATGTTAAAAAAAAAATTTAAGATAATTAATTCTATTTGCATAAAAAAAATAACCTTTATATGATGAATTATGAAGAAGGGCATGTAGTTATTTATTTGTATCGATAATATATATTTTTTTTCATATTTTGTGATCAATTTTTGTGTATTATTATAAATTAAATACATATAAATAATAATAGTGTGATAACAAATAAAATAAAATAAAGATAAGCAAATTGATGAACAATGAAGCCCATGGAATAGAGGTAGGTGTGTAGAACCAAAGGTTAATGAGGAGAGTAATGTGATGCATCAATTGAAAAATAGCATGTTAAATGAAAAAGAAGTTGTTAAATAATAAGTAAACACAGGTCGATGTTTTGGATGCTATAAAACAACTTTAAATTTAATGAAATTTTTTTTTTCAAAATTTAAGCAATATCTCCGAACAACCGGTTGAAAAAAAAAAGAAGCTAAATGTTTGAGAAAATTTCTCAAACACACATTCATTGTATTATTGCTAACGCTTAACACTTGAAGGAAAAAAAAAACTATCATGTAATATGAATTAAATGTTACTTCATATCATGTTATGATTTTCATAAAAAAAATTGCTTTTAACAACTATGATAAGTATATAAACTAACTAAAAAGGATATAAATCAACATTATCTAAGTATATGAAAGTGTTCTACATAATATAATCATCAAATAAATTAAGTCAGGCGATCCAATCATAATTCTATATAGCTTAAAATACCAATCATGTTAAAATTAGTCTCTCCAATTTTTATTATAATGCATAATTTAGAAAAAAAATTATTGGTTTTTTTATAAGGTATTTTATAATTTTTAGAAAATATTAAAAAAAAAATTCTTTGTTTGTTCCTATTAAAGATTGTAAGAATATATTTTTTTCCCTACTTCTTAAACTCTTTTTAATGGACATTTCTCATTTTTGTTGGTATTTGTATATAAGCTTTGGTTTAGGATAATATCTTCATCTCTCATGAAAATATTTAATGATAACTAAGAAGGGTAAAATTGGTAAATATTGGTGATTAAAAGTGTCTTATAATATACTAACCAAAGGAAAATAATAATAAACTAATCAACCTTTAGTAGTTTCAAGGAAGAATCTCACTCATTACACTTGTGTGTTATTTATGTTGTCAGAAATATCTATAAATAACTACAAGTGTAATTGAAATATGCAATATTAGTTTATAAAATACATAACAAGTATACATATAAAGTGATGTTTTAAAATATAAAAGTAGACCATAAATACACTATGTTTGTGTTGTGACAATATTCAACATGCACTTCATAATATAATAACCACTCCCATAGTCTCTTCTTAATCTATTAGACTATACAAACATTTATAAATAATACTCAAATTTAAATTCAATATATTAATCTCACAACCAACCACATTCACTATACAATGACTTATGCAACTTGTGTTTTTACTTCTACATGCATGTAGTTCCAATATCCAATATTGCCCACTCCAAATAAAAGGCAGCCTAAGAGCACATGGATCGGATCACCACACATTGGGTAACCCACTCAATCAACTTTCAACTAGGAGAAGATCTATCCAAATCCTATTGGGGCATTACAGATGACCATGGTCACCTTCCATGCTCATTAGAGGTTCCCTATCATAACACCCTCAAGACTAAGATAAAAGGCCGTAAAAACCTTCATCTCATCACCAACATCACCTCGAATACACCAAATGTCGCAAGTAAGGTTCTAAAAAACTCAACATTTGCATA